TTTATATTTAAATTAAATTATTTTATAACTATAATCTGGTGCTTGCCAACCTTATCTGTTGTAATGCTCACTTTACCGATAATTATTTCATCTTATAGGGTTAGTTAGCAATTAATTAGTTGTGTGAATAAGCTGTTTGTAAATGAATCAGTAAGTAGGGCAGAACCATAAATTCAGACATTATTGTTAGAAGCAATTTAGATACTAAAAATTTTTTTAATAAAATCTCCTGATGGCTAAAACAACATATCCTGGTTATCCAAAATATTGTTTTTTGTTTTTTTTTAATTTATTTAAATTAACAATAATATATATTAACTATTGTTCTTTGACCTCATTAATCATATATCATGAATGGCACTTTGGATGACTGGAATTTACTATATATTGTTTTAGCCCGCTCTCGATATTAATATATAAAAATAATGACAAGTAAAAAATATATAATTTCTCAATAAATATATTATGACAAACTCTTATATTACAGATATTAACGTTATTAAATTCACATAATCGGGTTTTTTTAAATAAAAATTCTTGATATTTAATATCAGAATTTTATCTAAAAATTCCCGATATCATTATATTATATTTAAATCATATTACAGTTATGTAACTAAATTTGATCGTAATAATATTGGAAATTTTTTATTAAAAATTCTCGATATTAAAGTATAACTGATATCATATATTAATATTGAGATTTTTTTTGATAAAAAAAATTTTTGATATTACTTGCATAAAGTATAGTATAACATGTAAAAATATTGTAATTTCTTAATTGATATTGACGTAATTAAAATATCATTTATATCGTCAATGCTTATTTCACCTATACGTTTTGTGAAGAATACATCAATCTATTTTACCAACAATATGTAATTTTCAAAGCGTTAAAAATATAAATAGGATAAATTTCTTCTTCTTGTTTTATTCACAATTCTTTTTCAGTTTTGTTTTATCTGTAACTCTTACTTTCTCACTTATTTTTTCGCTGTAAATTCTTACTTTAACACTTATTTTTTCGCCGTAAATTCTTTTATATTAAAAAACATGGCTAGTGAAAGTTGTTTTGTATAGAAGAGGATAATACAAGGAAAAAAAAGGGCCCATTATGACCCAAGGAAGCGGAAGCAAAAGAGGACATTCTTCGTCTTCAGACTTATCTCCAAAAGATAACATATTGATCAGAAATTTTATATATTGTAATTTTGTGTATTGTAAAGCAGGCTATATATATATATATATAGAACAAAAATGAAGATTTCTGGCTTCACTAATTATCATCACTAGCAGTAGCAGCAGTGATGATAGCATGGATATCGATATCAGTAATGAAAACAATATCCGAGAAGTGCTCCAAGTATGTTTTAACATATGAATATAAGTATCGGGCTTGATAAAAATTTATCAAAAATATAAAAATAAACTAGTTATTATTAATATAAACAGAATAACGTTTATATTAATAATAGCTAGTTTATTTTTATTTTTATGTTTTTGATAAATTTTGTTTTATGTATAAAATTTCTAATCGAATTTTTTTTATTATAATAGACTGATATCCTTTTAGCTATTGATGGTCTAAACAAACAGGATAGACCAGATCCCGCAAAGCAATAACACAAATTCAAAGATCGATTCGTTGCGAATTCTTTCCTGGTTATTATGCACAGCATTGAATACCATGTTAGTAAGGAACAAGTGCTTCAAATTATTCAACAATTGCATCGACATCAACATGAAATGCACTTGGAAAAACTAAATCTGAAGAGACGTGAACACAACAAAAAAAGAAGAAAAATTAATATCCGGGCATCACAGGTATATTATTATCAATAACATTATATGTAGCAGATCATAATGAAATTCAGATCAAAATGAAATTATAATATAAAATCTCGAAAAATAAAATTTTTTGGTATGCATTTTTTAGAGATAGGGGTTAGGGATAGGTGTTAGTTTTAAAGTAAAGTTATAATAAACAAGTATAAGTGGGTTTTAGAAGGTTAACAGGTTGAGTAAAAAATGTAGATTTCATTTTAAATTATGATCTGCGACATTATATATATATAAATATCGGCACTATACATCTCACTCTTATTATTATTTTAATAATAATATTATTATTTTAATATTATTATAACTATTATTTATTATTAATATTATTTATTATTTATATTATTATTACTATTATTTTATTATTTTTATTTTATTTTTACTTGATTCATTTTAATTTATTTTATTAGAAAATGCGAAGACGAAGGAGTGGTTTTAACCATTTAGTAAAAATGAAAAGCCGCTCCTTATACAAAAATTTATCTAAACAAAAATCTCGAAAACAAGTGGTTGCTGATATCAAACTGGTATTGGAGATTCAGGATTACCATAGTGATGAAATTTCTGATACTGATATCGAAAAGGCCATTAGAGAGTGGAGAGACAGAGATCAGGATAGTGAAAATGACCACAATGACCGAGTAATCAAAGTGCTAGATAAACCCTAGCGAACCCAAAAGGTAAGATCTAAATCTATATGAATATTGGTATTATGCTTTCTCTGAGTAATTATTTTTGATCTCAGACCAATTTTATATATAGTGTAATAACATAAGTACTGTCAAGAGAAATGAGACTTTAGGTTTCAATTTTATTATTGTTATTACTGCTGATATTGCATATACAGTTGACTCTCTCTAAATGCAGCTCACCAGGACTTAGAAAAATTTCTTAAATAAAAAAAAAAATCCTGCACTTAAAGAGAACCTACATTTAGAGAATATAAGTTTATTATAACTTTATATAGCTTGGGACTAAAAAAAAATCTGCATTTAAAGAGAATTTAATATGACCTGCACTTAGAGAACATGTATTTAGAGAGAGTCGACTGTATATATTATATCAGAGTTGACAAATGGACCAATTTGACCAATTTGACTAATTTTTTAGCTATTATTAAAATTTAATATTAATATAATTAAAAAATTTTAATAATATATTAAAACATTGGTCAAATTGGTCAAATTGGTCTATTTACCAACTCTGTATATATTGCCGATAGCTAATCTAATAAATGATAAAATCGAAAGCTCAAAGTCTTTTTTTCTTTGGCAACGCCCATATATATAATTTTTTTCTTCAGCAATGTTTGTATATGTATATATAATTTTTTTAAAAAAGAATTTTTTGTTAATTGACTTATAATTAAAAAATATTTTATAATCAGCAGGAAAAATATCTATCATAAAAAAAAAATGTAAAAGATATCAGTGGGCAAATACTTCAGGGTTAGTAGATCATCACACCACTCCACCCTCAGATATACCAGATTGGATGCTATCCAAATCATATCTTAATCATAATGCCCCCATGTCTAATAGTGATAACGATACCTCTAATCCAGATAACCCGGATGATCACACTAACCTAGATGACCCCACTAACCCAGATGACCCTACTAACCCGGATGACCCCACTAACCTAGATAATCCAGCTAATCCGGATAACACCGCTAACCCGGATGCTACTGCCACTGCTAACCCAGATGCTACTGCCACTGCTAACTCGGATGCCACTGCTAACCCAGATGCCACTGCTAATCCAGATGCTACTGCCAACCTGGATGCCACTGCTAACTAGGATGCTCTGCTAACCAGGATGCCCTGTTAACCAGGATGACCCGCTAATCAGAATGCCCTGCTAACCAGAATGCCTCTGCTAACCAGGATGACCTCGCTAACCAGGATGACCCTGCTAACCAGGATGCTTCTGCTAACTAGGATGCCCTGCTAACCAGGATAACCCCACTAATCAGGATGCCCCTGCTAACCAGGATGTCCCCGATAATGACAATCCAGATGACCCGATAATGACAATTCAGATGACCTCGATAGTGATAATCCAGATAACCCCGATAGTGATAATCTAGAGGATACCTCTAATGACGACTATGAAGCTATTGCTGGACCCAGTAAACCCTGATATAGTGTATACAATATATGTTCACAATCAAAAAACTTTTCGGGCAGTACAAGTAAAGATAGTAATATTGTTTGTTTAATTATAACTAAATGAAACTAATCCTAGTTTTTGAATTTGACAAAAAGTATGTCAACCGGCTGCTTTTAATAAATTTAGTAATATTAAAGGTATGTCAAAAAAGGTTGATGAAAAAGGTAAATCAAAAGAGGTTGTTGATGAAAAAGGTAAATCAAAAGAGGTTGTT